GCCCTTGTATGGGCGTACGAGTCGGCGTTCATGCTGCTTCCCAGTCGAGGTTTCCGAGTCCCCTTTTATAACCTCCCCAGGCCGCTTTCAGCGCACAAGTCCCCACTTGCCACCGGGAGCGCTGGTAAGAACTGTGGCATGCACACCATTCTATACGCTCGATTACGAGACAGAGGTGACGAAGAGGATGAAATGGAGAGTCTTTTGCGAGCCCTTCTGCGCGGAGACCGTGGCAGCATGGAGGACTACGAACAACGACGGCGACTGGAAGCGGTTCGACAAGAAGAAGCGTCGCAGGGCCTGTGGGGAAAAGCCAAAAGCATTGTGCGCAGAGTGGCATCAAAAGCTCCCCTTTTGTTAATCGCACCCGTTGTTTTATGGGCGGGGTTCCAATTGAGTGGGGTGGCCGTATCCCTTGGCTTGACTTCTGCACTGGTTTTCGCCAGCTTTGCCCTCCCACCCATGTTTGCATTGACGTTCCTGATGCCGCTGGTTGTCCTCATGCTTGTTGGGACCTTTGTCTTCCCAATCCTCCCTTTCGCAATCCTTGGCTTTTTGCCGGGTTTTGTTTTGCTGCCCCTCGTCTTCTTGGGTGGTGTTTTTATGCTGACTCAATTCGCCGGCAGCAGCAGAAGCAGCAGCAGTACGTGGGGTTTGACGGGCTTCGACGAAGAGTCTTGGCCATGGGGTGGTAAAACGTTCACGTGGGTCACCCTCGATGCGGATGAGGGGATGGAGGGGAGGCGCAAGGACCAGTCCAACCGGGGGAGGAACGATGGGATCATTGACGTGACTGCCACGGAGGCCGACGACGACGAGGAGGACGGTGGGAAACGAGGGCTGGATGATTTTGACAGGCGCCTGCGAGATTGAAAAAGGAGCATATGCCGGAGTGGGCGAGGTTGCGTGTCTTTTGGGGCGGTTCCCGGTGTTTCTGAATCGTGTGACGGTGGGAGGGACGGAAGTGACTGATTTGACGTAGAAATGAGCAATGAAAGCATGTTTAAATTTGGAAAAAATGGCCTTTAATCATTTGTCACGGTAAAAGTTTGAAACTTTCGCAAAGCTCTTCCGCCCTTCCTTCCCCCTTGGCAGCCTTGTCCACCCACAAAAACCACCCAAATTTCCCCTGCTGAATCTTAGATTCTTCCACTGACGGGAGAAAACTACAAAAACATCCAACCCACAGCACGGCCTGCTTACTCCAAATGCGTGTCGAAGCAGTGCCGTTTGCGAGTGAGTCGATAATTTCAGAGAACGCCTGTAGGTCTTGTCGCACTATTACCTGTGCTTCATTTCTCCTCCAAGATTCTCTTTCTTCATCGACCTCGCCCTCCCATTCCAATGTTTCTCCACCATTTTCTAATGCTCGCACTGTTTGGTGGACCTCCTTACAATTTGGCCCGCGCCTTTTCCCCTTTCTTCCCGCTCAGACCCCACGGAGCTAAAGTGACGAATTCTTCCGCCGCAGTGGGGTGGATCGCCAAGGCCGCATCGAAATCTGCCTTGGTGCACCCTTTCTTCAAGGCCACCGCGAAGCCTTGCAGCATCTCGTCTGCACCCATGCCAATCACGTGCAGCCCCACCACCCTCTCTTCGGGGCCGACGCAGATGAGCTTCATCGCCGTCTTGGGCTTCGCCTCGGGCGGGACAGGCCAGGGCCCATAAAACAAATTGACGAAGCGGGAGGTGTAGATTTTCAAATCCTTGGCATCGTATTGCTCCCGGGCTTCGGCCTCCGTGAGTCCGACCGTGCCAATGGGGGGATGCGAGAAAATGACAGTCGGCACGTTGGCATAATCTGCCTGCGCGCCATCCAGCCCACCGAAGAGGCGATCTGCCAAACGTCGCCCCGCCGCGATGGCCATGGGAGTCAACTCCACTTTCCCGCACACGTCTCCCAAGGCATAGACCCCGGGCATGGACGTATTCTGTTGCGCGTCTGCCTGGATATAGCCTTTCTTCTCCACGGTCGCGATGCCCCCCGCCTCCAACCCCAAGGTCTCTGTCTCGGGGCTCCGGCCAATGGCCAGGAGGACCACGTCGAAGTCCTTGTGCTCCTGCCCGTTCGTGAGAGTGACGGATAGTTTCCCCGTTTTTTCGTCCTTCTGGACCCCTGCCGGGGTGCTGTGCTTGTGCAAGTGCAAGCCTGCGTGGTCCATCTCCTGCATGAGGGTTTCGCGCAATAATTGGTCGAAAGGCCTCAATGGACCATCGTACCGGACGAACAAGTTCGTGTCCGCCCCCAAGGAATTGAAAATCCCCGCCAGCTCCACGGCGATGTAGCCTGCGCCCACCACGGCCACCCGTTTGGGAAGTTCCTCCAGCGCGAAGAACCCGTCCGAATGGATGCAGTGCTCCACCCCCGGCATTTTAGGCATCACCGGCTTTCCCCCCGTGGCGATCAGTATGTGGTCGGCTGTATACTCTTTCTCCCCAACCTGCACACGTCGGGGCCCCGTGAAACGGGCGGCTCCCTCCAGCACCTCCACCGTGCTGTTCCGCAACAACGTGGCATATATCCCGTTCAAGCGACGCACGTAGGCATCCCGCGCCTCCTTGATCGTCTTCCAGTCGAATCCAAACGTCTCCGTCACTGCGTCCTTCTTCCCTGTCTCCGCCCCCGTCAAAGGCCCCCGCCTGTAGAAGCCAAAGTGGCCAGCTTCCTGCATCTGCTCCGCGAGAATTGCCGTGTTGAACATGACTTTCTTGGGCACACAGCCCACGTTCACACACGTCCCTCCCAGCGCCTTGTACTCTACCAAGGCGACTTTGGCACCGTAGGCGGCCGCACGACGGGCGGATGCCACCCCGCCGCTCCCCCCCCCAATCACCAAATAGTCAAAATGCTGCGGCTGAGACGACGACGGTGAAGGCCGGAGACAATATCCGCAGGGCAAACGAAAGGAAGAATGGAATGAGGATGGGAAGGATGGGTATGTATGAGACGCTTCCGTGACTGTAAATAACGACAAGCTTTACAATGGACTCGCGTGGGATATTTTTTGAGCGTCGATAGTCCGCAGGGGGGACTGACATAATTTTATCACAAACGCAAGCCCAGCATACTCAGAATTGCCATAGCAAACATATCTGATGCAGATTCTGCCCACAATTAATAGGACAGCTTGACTTCTTCCACTGTTTCTATACACCCGTACCTCCGATGATGCTTTGCCGTCCAGCTTGGATGAGGAGGAAAAATGCGCGGCTGCAGTCGCGGGAATGGCCATGAGCGCGATTCGGCCCGTTTGCAAGCGAAGTCGGTTCAATAGAGGACGCATTATCGGTAAGATCATGCACAAAGTCTGTATTAAGGCGTTGCAAAAGGTAGATGCGTTGAGTGCGTTGCGAGGAGGAAGCAAGGAAGGCTATCTGTGAATGCAACAGACAGAGGGAGCTCGCCATGATGTGGAACAAGTCATAAAAAGGACCAGAAAAGCTGTAGCAAGATTGAGAGGAGGCGCTTAAAATTCACGCAGAGTCCTCTTTTAGCTTCATTACAACCAAAATCTCAGATGGGGGTGTGACTTAACGAAGTACGTCGCCTCGCTTACAAAAAGTGACCGAGTCGCTCACTACGACAGCGACACCAAAGAAGCACCGGAGATGCCTATGCCTTATCAATTAGCACTTGAACAAATGGTAATAAATCAACACTGCGCGCGGCCATAATTAAGTGGCTACCTTTCACATTTTCAGGATGAACGTGACGGCTGAAGCTCGTCTGCGGAGTCATATGCTGATATGCGAATGACAAATGGCCCATAGTGTTCGGCGTTGCACTTGGTAGATAGCGTGATAAATGTGTAGATCACGGGTGTAAGACTACGAGGAGATAAACCTTTTTAGCCATCCTTACCTGGATGAGAGAATCTTTCTTTATTAACCTCCTGCCTCCCGTGAAAAGGAGGGCACCCACACCGTGCGACTATTGTGGGAATACTCTATCAAGTCGCCCCGATCATGGCATCTTGCTCGTCACAATATGTCCAACAGACAGAGAGGGGAGCACACGCATTCAATTTTGAGTCAGTATCAGAATTTTGAATCTGTCCCATGGCTGCGATAGTCAGTGCATAAGTGCAAGTAAACGGACTGACCATGTAAAAAAGTTGAACCACTCTATACCCATATGTATTGGGGCCCACTTGTCAGGTTCCTTTTGATCAAATAGTTGTGGGGGTGCAAGTTTTGGGTGCAAGGAAAGTGCGGGAGTGCGACTTTCCTCAAAAGGCGTGCAACATTTGAGACGTGCGGTTAAAATCAACGGATTGTCTTATTTGTCGTGTGCGGCACGGTTTTGGCACGAAGACTTTGCCACAGGAATTCTAAATGGAATCAATTTTCAATCAATCTTCTTGTATTTCTTTGGAGTTTCATACATTTCAGTCCTTCTTTTAAGGATTTGAGGACGCTTTTCGCATCGGACGATATTTTATCCTTTCGATCAAATCACATTCCGCTGAGATTCCTGCCCGTCATCCCCGTCTCCTTCTGCTATACCCGCCCCGGACGCGCTCATTTCAATCGACCCACGCGCATTGTACCCGAAGAGACGATCGATATGGTCGTTGGCCATGAATCCTTCCCCGCTCGACTCACGCCTGAGTCGCTCCCCAGGGTTTCTTGGGTAAGGGACAGGCGACAACTCTGGAGCCGAGGGCACGGCGTCGCCTGGCCCACCCTCCTTCCCTCCCTCCTCCTGGTCGTGCCCGTGTCGCCCTCGGTAATTGGGGGACCAGGGCGTGGCTTGCGAAGAAAATTCGAGGGGCCGCTGCAAGAGAGGAACCAAGTATTTTTCCTCTAAGGCCAAAATCCGGCTTTGGTTTTCCGACAGGTTCACGGCGTCCGTGGCGGGCACGCCCAGGGGAATCTCCATTTTCTCGAGCATGGTGATGGTGAAGGTGCCAAAACCGAAGACCGTGATGAGCACGATGACCATCGTCGTCGCCTCGATGCTGGCAAAGGAAGGATGTGGAGCAGTCATGCGGATTCAGAAAGAAGCGTGGTGAGCAAACATGAGACACCACCCAAGGGAAACGTGAACTCCGCGGATCACAGCATGCAACCAAAAAGACGCGTTTCCTCGACGCCGACGTACATTGGTTGATTGCCAAAGACGTTGGAAAATTGCTTGGAACAGGCGTAGGCCATGGCGCCTCGGAGGCCCGCGAACCAGAGCATGTGTTGGACGTTTCGGCCCACCTTGACGCTGGTGAAGCGGTTCACCTGCGAGAAGTCGGATCCCAGAAGAAACAGAAGGAAAGGACGGGCGAGAACGCGATTTAATTGGGTCGGAAGGCGAGTGAGTGGGAGAGACAGTGCTTTGCTCGGATTGTACCCGTGACAACGACTCGTTCGACCAACCACGAGGAGATCACGTGAGGGATAGAGGATGAGGTTTTCGACGCACACCCACGCCTTTTGGTGAGAGACGCAAAGGCCCTGCATGCCAAAGAATCAGACAGAACCTCCCAGAAAAGTACAAACACGTATCAACGACGACTGGGGCCACAACGACACAAGTTGCAACTCCATTGCCTGCCTACCAGGAAGCTGATGGGGTAGATGTTCAGGGCTCGACCGATAAGAATCAAGAGCAACGTCCAGATGATCAGGAGAGGATGGAAGTATTCCTTCTCGCCCGAGAAGACGCTCAGACCCAGCTCCAAAAAAACAGCAGTCTCGGACAGGACGGCGAGGAGGGAAAAGATGAAGAAAGCCAGTGCCTGGCCTTTCACGGACAGGTTCCGGTGCGTGTAATGCCGGGAGAACATGCCTGTGAAGAGGATGCAGACAATACCGGAGAGCTCGCTGGGGTGGGGAAAGAAAAAGGGGAAGGACGTCAGCGAAGACAGGAACGGGACAGGTCTTGATAGTCTCTGCCTCGATGGGCCTTGTAAATGTTCAACATGGAAATTACGCAAAAGAAAGCAGCGCCAGGCAGCCATGTAGATTCCCTTTCTTTCGTGTACGTCCCCCCAATCCTCCCTCAGCACCCACATGGCGGTCCCAAACAGGCTTGGGATGTAGGCCAGGAGGAGGTAGACACCCATCTCGTAGATGGAGTGCCGAAGGTCGATGTGCTTGAAAAGGAGGGCGCTCAGACAGCCAAAGAGGAAACCCACGGCCATGGAGCCGAAAAAGATGATGAGGAAATCCACGATCGCGAAGCCCATGCTGGCAGTGGTGAAGGCCTCCGTGCCCACAAACTTGGAGAAGATGTTGAAGAGCACCAGAGCCACCGCGTCGTTCAAGACGCTCTCCCCGAACACCAGGTAAAACATGAGAGGGTCCACCTTGAGCTGCTCGAAGACCGCCAGGACAGAGACCGGGTCCGTGGCGGAGATGAGCGCCCCGAAGGCGAGGCATTCGGCCATGGACAGGGAGTAAGAGAGGTGGGCTTGGGCGAGTGCGTAGAGGGACAGGCCGACAAAAAGGGAGGAGAGGAAAGTACCTATCACAGCGTAGAAAACGATGGGAACGAAGTAGTACAAGAAAACCTTGCGGCGCAGGGTGTATCCGCTGTTGAAAATAATGGGGGGCAAGAAGCCGATAAAAAACACCGTGGGGCTGCGGATGGGGTGGAAAGTGGCAGGGAAGGGGCGAGTAGAGGAGAAGGAATCAGACAACTGTCGGCTAGATCAGGTCCAGGGCTCGTTTTGAGCGCGAGGATACCTTAAAGAAGGTGAATGAAAAAACTTGGATGGCCCGTCCTCCCAGGAGTCCAAGGGCAAAAGTCCATCAACATATTTACCTGATTCCCCTCAGCCAATCTTTCGCCCCTCTGTGCAAGACAAGCCGGACAATTCCACTTATGACAAGTCCGACGGCGACGACGGCCCCTGCCTCTGAGATGTACTTGGGCTGTGGGAAGCCGACAGAGGGAGAGTCCAAGAGAGGTGAGGATGATGGACTCGTGTCCCACGCAAACCCATGAAGATATCCTTTCTTCAGACTTACATGGTACTTGTGTCCAATCATGTGGTTCATGATTAAGCAGCCGGCCAAGAGACAAAGAAATGCTGCTCATGGATGCACAGGAATGCCAGGATGAGAAATGGATGCATAGAAGGACGACACTTTACGCGACGATGAGGCTCATCGTGGCTCGCTTTTGAGGCAGAGCCTACCGCAAAATTATGTGAGACTGCTTGGAGAAAATCTTTTAAACAATAGTGAAGAGATGGAAAGGACCTGAAAAAGCTTATGCCTCGCACTCACCAAAAATGAATCCATTGACAATCGCCTCGCTGTACTCGCCCTCGTCTCCTAACTCCGCCATGACTGCCAGCGATCTCCGAGGTAATGGAAATGACACTTAATAACAATGCGTAATTTAAATATTGATAAGTTTTCAAATGATGCGAGGATGTTGCGTACGTATCATGCGGGCCATCACGTAGAAGCAGCTCTGGAAGGAAGGGAAGTATCGGCGTTTCATGCCAGAAAAACATGTAGCACATTTTTTGGGATAGGAGTGTGATTCACAATGCAAGGCATCGTAACCCAAAGATGTAGAGTGTGTATTTAATTTGGTGTGAAGGGTGAAATTTTGGCGCTTTCTTGCTGTAGTGGTGCAAAAAAGAAGCACGAGCAGTTATCGTGTTTTTGTTTCAATTCCGGGGCCCATATAACGAACGACGAACGGCGATGACGGCATCGACCGGGGTGGGGAGGTTAAGACGTCTTGTCGAAGCCTTTTAAGGGCGTGGGGCACCACCATCACCTTAAGAGTTCCATGTGAAGTTGAACAACTTGGAAGAATAAAGGTTGTTACGCGAATGTGCTGGAAGTCTGGTTAAGTTATGTGCTTTAAATCAGCTAAGTTCATTGATTCAGTTGATTCTGTCTTGTGAGAGTGCCCTTGCGCTAATCAGGGACAAGGAGTGAATCGCTTGCTAGAGCATGACCACACTTTGTGTCGTTTTCCAAATGTGTAAAGAAATTCGTTCCGTCATGAAGAGAAGTCATTTTGGAAGAAAAATGAGACAAACCGGAGTTGCGTTGTCACAGACAAATTACTGCTTTAGGGTTAGAGTCTAGACGGTTGCGCCTCCACTGAAGGCATTTCAGAGTGTTTTTTTCTACAATACTCTCCATTGATTTCTATATTTCCCATAAATCGTTGTATTTGATCAAGGATACTGTCAAAAAGATACCGAGTGATGCATCTTTCTTACAACACGCGTATCATGGTTCCCCCGTCTTCAACTTCCTCCTCCTCATCCCCTTCCTCCACTCCAGCACCTCTGATCTCTTCCCTCGCAGCCCAATCTTCTCTCCATTGACTACGATTGCTAGGTGGCTTGACGGTGAAGGCTGACGCGCGGCGATCACGCGTATAGTAAGAGCGTTCCCCTGCGGTAGCAGCTTTCGAAAGATGTTCATACTTGATATGAAGGTTGTCAGGCAGCAGGTCGTAACGGGTGATAATTCCGGTAACCTGCAGATAAGGAGAGATGATTAATGAAAAGAAATGGAGAATTCAGGTGGCGGGATGAAGATTGAAGAGGGATATGTCTTCTAAAGCATGAGCTCGTAGAGGGGTGTTTCGTCTCTCCCCCCCCCAAAGTAGTAAATCTGAGTGGTGTTTCTGACAAAAAGAGAGACTAAAATACAAGTGCACCATGTATAACACAAAAGGGGCCGGCCAACATACGCGAATAATGGGACCCGCCCGTCAGTCTCTAGGGTCTCCCAGGGGTACCTGGTTGTGACTATTGACGACACAGAGGTGTCGTAGTCCCATGGTGCGGAAGAGTCGGTAGGTCCTCACCAGGGAGGCAGTCTCATTGATGCAGTAGGGCGCAGTGTTCATGACGGGCCGCAAATCGATCACACATTGCCGGTCCTGGGAAAGGAGGGCGTGTGGTCGGGGAAGAGGGGGGGAGGGAGGGAGGGAGGGA